CTGTACTTAAACTTGTTTAATAGTTCTTAACAGTTCATTGTTCATAGTTCTTGCAGTGAGGAAGCAGGTGCTGTGGAGAACCATTGGGACAGCTTGGTGAGAGTGAGAGAAACTATTATAGGATTTGGGCAATTTGCGGGAGGGCCAAGAAAGCCAGGCTTCACCCTGGATTGGGTGTTATCAGAAAGCAGGGACACTTCTGTAACTAGGTACCTGAATAAGTATTGTCTGTAAGATGGACAGATGAAAGTGAGGATAAAGCTATACTTGATGAAGAAGCAGCAGTCACTCGTAATAGCAGAGGACGTTTGTTTTCTCATGGCTCACACAGTGACTTTGCTTTCTTGTTTCTGCTTAGACAAAATTATGAAATGGCCTTGTTGTATCTCACTTTTTTATAGTCTGACCTTGTCTGATATTGGTGTTCTGTGAGATTATGTCCCACATTAGAATAACTGGGCCAAGCTGTGAGCACCAGCCCAGCTTCCCACAACCCTGAAGTCTAGCTGTGTCAGACCATCTCTCAGATGTCAGGGCCTGCCTCTTCCTTTCTCAGGCTTTTAATCTGGGAGAAAGAGAAAGCCACTGAGAGGTTTTGAACAGAAGAGTGACATGATATGACTGAGCTTTAAAAAAATATTAATAACTGTGGTATTGTGAAGAGGCAGCAGTTTGGGGCGAGAGTAGAAGTCAGGAGACAAGGTAGGAGGAAGATTACAGAGAAAGTTAAAGGGTAGAAAGCCTGTTAAGTGTATCTCAGCCAGATAACCAGCCTTGAAACAGAACTGCCAGGGGCTCAAAGTTCTAATAGATCCTGCCAGAAATCCATTGTATAAGGAAAAGATACCAATTTAGCAGCAAGGCTAGGGCAAGATTCTGCTCTTTTTTTTTTGAGACAGAGTTTCAGTCTTGTTGTCCTGGCTGGAGTGCAATGGCGTAATCTCAGCTCACCACAACCTCTACCTCCAAGGTTGAAACAATTCTCCTGCCTTAGCCTCTCAAGTAGCTGGGATTACAGGCATGCACCACCACAGCCGGTTAATTTTGTATTTTTAGTAGAGATGGGGTTTCTCCACGTTGGTCAGGCTGGTCTCAAACTCCCAACCTCAGGTGGTCCGCCTGCCTTGGCCTCCCAAAGTGCTGAGATTACAGGTGTGAGCCACCGCACCCAGCCTCTTCCATCTTTTATGAAACAGCCTTTTGGCCAGGCAGGGTGGCTCACGCCCGTAATCCCAGCACTTTAGGAGGCTGAGGCGCGTGGATCACAAAGTCAGGAGTTCCATACCAGCCTGACCCATAGGGTGAAACCCCATCTCTACTAAAAATACAAAAATTAGGCCGGTCACGGTGGCTCATGCCTATAATCCCAGCACTTTGGGAGGCTGAGGCGGGTGGATCACAAGGTCAAGAGATCGAGAACATCCTGGCCAACATAGTGAAACCCTGTCTCTAATAAAATATAAAAATTAGCTGGGCATGGTGGCACATGCCTGTAATCCCAGCTACTCAGGAGGCCAAGGAAGCAGAATTGCTTGAACCTGGGAGGCGGAGGTTGTAGTGATCCGAGATCGTGCCACTGCATTCCAACCTGGCGCCTGGTGACAGAGTGAGACTCTGTCCCAAAAAAAAAAAAAGGCCGGGCATGGTGGCTCAAGCCTGTAATCCCAGCACTTTGGGAGGCCGAGGTGGGTGGATCACGAGGTCAAGAGATCGAGAACATCCTGGCCAACATAGTGAAACCCTGTCTCTAATAAAATATAAAAATTAGCTGGGCATGGTGGCACATGCCTGTAATCCCAGCTACTCAGGTGGCTGAGGCAGGAGAATTGCCTGAACCCAGGAGGCGGAGGTTGCGGTGAGCCGAGATCGCACCATTGCACTCCAGCCTGGGTAACATGAATGAAACTCTGTCTCAAAAAAAAAAAAAAAAAAAA